TCAGCTCAGGTCATGATTCCAGGGTCCTGGGATTGAGCCCCGCATTGGGCTCTCTGCTCGGCAGGGAGCCTGCTTCCCTTCCTCTCTCTCTGCCTGCTTCTCTGCCTACTTGTGATCTCTGTCAGATAAATAAAATCTTTAAAAAAAATTAATATAATACTGAAAAAACTCTAAACAATCCAATTTAAAAATCGACAGAATATTTGAATAGACATTTTTCCAAAGACATAAAGATAGCCAAAAGATACATGAAAATATGTTCTACATCACGAATTGTCAGGGAAATGCAAATCAAAATCACAATGAGATATCACCTCACACCTGTTAGGTTGGCTATTATAAAAAAGACTAGAAACAGTAAGTATTGGCGAGGTTGTGAAGAAAAGGTAAAGGGAACACTCTGCAGTGTTGATGGGAATGTAATTCGTGAAGCCACTATGGAAAACAGCATGGTGATTCCTAAAAAAATTAAAAATAGAAGTACATAAGATGCAGCAGTTCCACTTCTGGGTATTTATTCAAAGAAAGCGAGAATACTAACTTGAAACGATAAATGCACCCCCATGTTCACTGCAACAATAATTACCATAGCCAAGATATGGAAACTACCTAAGTGTTTACTGATGGGCGAATGGAAAAATTAACAATGCTATATGTATATAATGGAATATTATTCAGCCATAAAAAAGGAAATCTTGCCATTTGTGACAACATGGATGGACCTTACAGTATTACACTATGTGAAATAAGACAGAGAAAGACAAATCCCTGTGAGTTCTTATACGCAGAATCTAAAAAAATATAAATTATAAATTAAAACAAGCTAAGAGATGTAGAGAATATATTGGTGATGGTGGAGGGCAAGAGAAATGGGTGACTCGTTTTTTAGTTTAAATAAATTGAAAAAAAAGGTACTTAGGTTATTACTTCCATATAATTATTTCATTTTAGGAAAGCAGTTTTATTTTCAGTATTTTAATGTTTAGTGAATCTGAGATGCTAAAAGCAACTTTTCTGCTTTTCAGTATTTTGCTTTGAATATTTTTGGTGGAGGGAGGTGGTTGGACACGACAAAACATGTGTATTTACATTTTTGTTTGGTCTCATAAGAGTTGTATTCTTTGATGTTCCAGGTTCGTTCGTTCGTTCTTTCTTCTTTCCTCTTTTTTTTAAAAGATTCTCATTATAAGTTTATATAAGCTTTATCACAGCTTTTTTAAAAACACATTTAGAAGTTTCAGAAAATATAGAATAGTTTGGAAGGACTGGGAAAACATTGGGGTATACTGATCAATTTGGCATTTTGGTTAGTTACTTCCAGAGGGGAAAGTAAAGAAAATAAACAGTTACTAAATATTAAGCCACTAAAGGAGCAGAAGTGCACAATTCTGGGCAACTTTCTAGTATGGAAAGGATCTCTTGGGTTGTCTTTTCAGTCACATTCACAATCACAAATACCATCTTTACATGTGAACAATAACAGCAACAAAATATCCTATTGTGCTTGAAGGTCCTAAGAAAAGCTCATAAAGGAAAAACTGCTGGGGTGGATCCTTGAGCAAAGAGTAAATTTGTCTTAGGAGGGGACAATACAGATATTGGAAATACCAAGAATGGAGTATTTTCACCAAAAGAAGCCTATTTTTCAACCCAATTTTGTATCTAAGAATTGTATTTTAGAAAAAAAAAATGTACCGAGAATGTACATTTTGTGCTTAGAACTAATGGTTTTCAAATTTTAGCATTTATCAAAATTGCCCTGAAGATTTGTTAAATTGGGGTAGGGCCCATGAATTTGCACCTCTAGTAAGTTTCCTTATGATTTTATGCCTCTGATCCCAGAACACATTTTGAGAACCACTGGTTTAAACAAAGTCTTTTTCACTTTTCTCTAGACAATAGCTACTTTAATGCTGTCATAGAGTTCTTGATCCTTAAATATGACTACAATGTTGCTCACTATGTGAAGTAATCATAAGTGGAATTCCACAAAAGTGGAATACAGTATCAGGGAGAGATCTTGTAATTAAAGTAAAATGTGTAAGTGGCAATAGACAAAAGGTGGAAGCTAGAAGATTCCCTTTCATCTGTCAGCTCGAAGACTTTTGTATTTCCTCAATTTGTAAACTACATAGATATTACTTTTCTGGAATGTAGGGTCTTAAGCTTCCTCCTCCATTTTCAAATTCTAGTTCTACTTTAGAAAACATTATCCTCTTCCCACAAACTACATTTACGTTTCTTAAAATCAGTAAGGGAATGTTACTATGTTTTGTTTCTCAAACAGAAAAAAAAGAAGCACTGTGAAACTAAATCTCTTTAGAGAGCAAGTATTTGTTTTTATTGTTTTTTTGGGGGGCAGGAGGTGATGGACTTCTAACTGTACTGAAAATAGTACAAGGAAATAAAATTGTAGAACAAAACAGTTCCATATTTAGTAGGATTTAGTTCTGGGTTTTCCCCAGACACTGCAGGTCAAATGAAAGGTATAAGGAAATTTTTTCAGGCCTCAGAGGCCAGACTTGGCACTCTAAACCAAAACCAAGGCCTATTATGCAACACAGGTATTTGCAAATAACTAGATGATTGGTTCATATGGGCAACACAGGGAGACTTCATATTCTGAGGCTTAAGAAACATGCAGCAACTCTGCCATGCCTGTGAGAAAGAAATGTGAAGTCCTACGATGTTGATAGTAGTTTGTATGCTGAGTTTGATTTAGTAAGCATCTGTTGAATGTCTTACGAATTCAAATAACAAAGCATTCCTGACAATACAAGGCTCCTGCCTACCCAGTACTCTGTATTCACAAGGATCTGCTTTGCATTTTTTCGCTTTACATTAAAATTGAAACAACGTGGTATGGAGAATTAAGTTACTATACCAAGTGTTAACTTTTCTGTGGCAAGGACCAGACTTGCTGCAACAGTAGACCAAGACCTCCAGAATAATTGTTTTTGGATTATCTAAATTAATTCCAGGCTAAATAAATCTCTAAGTAATTCTACATGAAGAAATAACTTAAAATTTACCCGTTGAACAAATGCAGAGTACCAACACTGAGACAGATTTTGTACGAGGCTTTCCAGCAATAGTGAACATGCTGGGCATGTGCCCAGACTTTGTGGATTATTTATTAGTAGTAAGACACACACTCACCAGAAGTAAATTACATATGAAAAGTGCTAAATAGAGAATAATCAGAAATGGTTTTAATGGTGGAGATGGGGTGACATAAGCAGATGTGTGTATCACAGGAAGTTATAATGATGGCTTACTGCTGTTCAACTACTTGCCCACAAGAATAGCGCTTACTCCTGTTTATTAACAAAGTACTTACTAATAGTCTTATTAAAAATAACCTGTGATCAACTTAAATGTAGTAGAAGAAGAAGAGAAAAAAGGTCTGGAACTCTGAAGAATTCCTGTAACAGAATGGAGAAAAATAAATATGTGAAGGAGAAAAAATGGGGGAAAGGCCATAGCAGTTGTTTAAAGATTTTAACTATTTTCCTAACTTAATCATTCCTACTTAATTTACTTGTGGTAAGGTATTTTCATGTGCTAAAATTCCTGCTTGGAGTAGCAGAAAGCTAATCCTGTTAAAACTGTTATATGATCCCACCACAGTTAAGAGGAGAGCCCTGGAACCATGCCAAGAGCCAAAAAATCTGTGACCAAAGGGCTCTCTCTCATCCAGAAGGCAAGTGAATAGAGGTTTTGCAGTTAGGAGCAAAATGTCCACTGTATTTGAATTCATATTAAATAAAACAAAGTTCATTAAAATAACACAAGGTTGTTGGATTGCTGGCAGACCACTTTAACAGTAACTTTTCTCTTGTTTGAAAAATTCTTACTTCCCAATGTCACCTTTGACCTTGACTGCATGGTCTTCTTTTATTAATATATTATTTAATCACTTTTGCACACAATCAGCTACGGTGGGAAATAGCAACCTGGGCATCAAAAACGTTTTAATTCTAATTACCGTTGGTTACCTTTAAAGATAGGTAGCCTACAACCACTAATACGTCTGAAAATCAAAACCGAATAGAATTCGAACAATGCAAACCTACTAGTGGGTTGGAATGGCACAGACACTCAAAGATGTGAGTTAAGCAAGCAGAACACCGGCACAAAAATTACCGTACTTGGAAGATATACTGCATTTTAGGCATACTAAACCCCACTGAGAAATCGAACTAGCTTGTTTACTGTCTAGGTTCACGGGGCAACATTTTCTCAGCTCTCCAGACCTTGCTCTCCTTTCCCTTTCTCAATTTGCTAATCCTCCTCAAAACCCTTTCTTTCTAGTAATGGGGTGTGGGAGGTTTAGGCAAGCCACGAGAAACTTGCTTGGCATACATTTTCACCGGTTCTAGGTACTCAGTTTGTTGAGTATTGAACGCGTGTTAGTTATGGGAACAGGATCAACTCCCAAGCCAGGCCGAGAACACCGGCCAACGCGAGGGCCAGACAGCGAAAGCGCTAACCCCGGGAGGTGGGAAACTTCGAGATGCTAAACGGACACTTTACAGTGGCACAATCTTGTGAAAAATCGTTGGCTTTTCAGATAAATCGGTGAGCACTTTCCACAAGTCTCTGTATAGTTACCCCGCGGGGAAGCACCCTCGAAGATGCTCCGACACCTAGATGCCCTGGTCCGAATCATAGCGAAATAGAACAGCCACCTCATAGCGAGTCCTCCAACCTCAGCACTCCGCCACGGGTGACCGCCTCTCAGCAGCTCTTCTGTCCCCGAGCGTTAAGGACGCGGGGAAGGGGGCGGGGAGGTTGAGGCCTTGTTCTCGCGCGATCTCTCCCAACAGGGTCGGTCCCCAGGTCTCCTCAAGACCTCGCGTTGTTTGGGAATGGGGGCGGAGCGATCCCTGTGGGGGCGGAGCCGGATGGGGGCGTCCCCCTAGCCTTGTTGACTTCGGCGTCCTCCCAGAGCGGTGCTTGCGGCCGGTGTTCTCTGCGCATGCACAGGCTCCAGACAACTCCCGAGGCCGCGACTGTCGGGCTTCCCCAGTCGGGGATTCGGGCCCCGCCCCTCCTCCTGGCTGCAGCGGCGGCGTTGTTGTGGCGGTGGGGGAGGCGGGCTGCTGTGGAGCCCGCCGAGTCTAGTTCCTGACCCTGTGCGTCGCAGCGGCGGGCCAGACAGACAGCCTCGCCGCAGGTAACGCTGATGCCTGTGGCCTCGGGGTCGTGCGGGTCGGCGTATCCCGCGTGCTGGGGTCAGGCGAGGCGGGGGTGGTCGGGGAGTTCGGGAGCTGGGGAGTCGGGAGAAGCTGAGGGTTTCCAAGGGGGCTTCCAAGGGAGGTTAGGGGTTGGGCTCGGCAGGGTCGAAGGGGCTGGGAGTCCCGGGTGGTCGAGGGAGTCTGCAGGGGTCGAAGGGTTTGGGAGGTCGGGGCGGACGGTCCTAGGTCTTTGACCTGGGATCGGGAACCGGGACTCCCAGACGCTGCGGTCCGAAGACACCCACGGGCCCCCTCGGGCCTTTTCAGTTCCACCCCGTGACTTTCTGTTGTTGTTTTGATTTTGAAGGAAGAGAATCCAGCCTACGTAGGCTTGGGGAAGCCTTGGGGGTTGAGGCTGGGAAGGGATTTTCGAGGCTAGAGCAGGCGCTAACATTTTCTTACTTTCTGTTTTTTTGTTTGAGCGTTTACTACTGTTTAAGTGTGGTACCCGTCCTTAGGGTATTTCAAACATTGGCGTAGAGAGGACCCAAGAGTGGAACCAGGGGGAGTAATTTTGCAAATCCAAGATTTTTCATTTTTAACTTCCATGTCTGTGTTTTTGTATGTCTTCTTTTTTTAAAACTGAGAAATCATAATTATGTTTTTAAAATTACACAGAAGAATTTGGGTACGGAGGAGAAAGTATAGTCCTACCAATGGTTATTTTTTTTTCCCGGTTATTTTTTTAATTATAAAAGTACTACGTGCTCTTTAAGAAAAAAATTAAGCAGCTAAACAATGAAGACGTCTGCTCCCCACGCCCCCCCCCCATTTTTCCTCTTTTAATTACCCAAGGTAACCAGTCTTCAAGTGTGGTATTTATTAGCCATTCAGGATTTTTCTGTTCGTGTAAGTATGTTTTAAAAAACAAAATTGGGATCATATATAGTATATACTTCTTATGGCCAAGGGATACTCAGAGATACTCTTCGATTTTATTACATACCTCATTCTTTTTAAAAGCTACCACATAAGCTGTGTGTGTGTGTGTGTGTGTGTGTGTGTGTGTGTGTTTTACTGCTGAACATTGTTTCCAGTTTTTCTGTAATCTTTTATTACATAAGCTTTTAAAAAGGGCTACAAGTTATTATTTTGAAACATAATGTGGCAAAACTTTCAGGTTGTCTAAGGCCAGATGGGGATACATATGTATTAGGCAAGTTAAGAATTACGTTTACACGGAGTTTATGGTAGTTTACGAGGTTTGGATCATTTCATAAAGCAGGTTACTAAAATAGTTCATTTTTTGTTTTTGGTAAGTGCATTTTCCAAGGTAATTTTGAATTCTGTGTGGTCAGTTGAAAACAAATTCAGTTTTCTTAAACAACCTACTCATGTCTGAAGATAGAAAACCAGCAGCCTAGAAGTTTGTATTTTAGGTTAAAAAAAACAAAACCTCAAAATAGCCAGGAACTAAATATTTTGATAGTAGACCATAGGGAGTAAGCTGTAAGCGAAAGGATGATATTACATTGCTTACTATTAAATAAGACAGAAAGCTAGGAAATCCCTATTACATTTTGTATTTTTGTGTGCAGAAGAGCTGGAGGTTTTGTTCATCTAATCAGTGGCATGTATTTATTAAAAATGTATTGTGTGCGTCTTCTTGCCAACTTCCAGGGAAAACATAGAACTGAGTAAGATAATCACAAAGAAGTCTGGTTCTAAGCATAAATATGTAGCCTGAAATCTTTGGGCCAGTTGTGTAATTATTTGGGAAGCTGTGTTTAAAAGGAACCACAGTGTTGGTGGCATTTAAGTTATAGTTGCTGGTAATAATACTTTTCTTATTTATCTCTAACAACATAGGTGACATTCTCCCCAATCTAAGGATTAATAAACAGAGGCTCTGAGAGCTTAATTCAATTGCTCAAGATCTCATCATCTTTTTAGGGGTAGTTACTGCATTTGAGTCAGGCTTAAGCCAAGAACGTGTGTTTTCTTCTCTGCCAGGCTGCCTTTCGTTAATGAAAACTACCTTATAAAATTGTGATCTTAGAGGTTTTTTTTTTTTTTTTTTTTTTTTGCCTTGGAGATGTTCCTTGCAAAATAGAGACCTGAATATAATCATGTATTGATGTATTGAAAAATAGCCTAAAGGATAAATAGTATGAAACTATGGTATTGTTTTAGATGAGGTTTCTGTGCTGTGTTATTAAAATATTCCTTGAGCTGGTGCCATTGACCAAGAAGAAGGGGCATTGTGTTAGTCACTCTATTTGATGCCAGGGTAAATTTGGATATTATAGTAAATTGTAGCTCTTACAGGCATTTTTATTCCTTACAAACTTGGGTGGGTAATCTCATTTCATTTAACATTTTTATGAACCCAGTTGCACTTTAGTAAGCTAATGTAATAAAATTAAAGTGTGCTTATTTCATTTTAGTATTTTGTAGTCTCTTAAAAATACATCATGACAGTTTAATGAAGTATAGCTCCTAATATTATGGTGTATTAATCTGTTCTGGGTTCCCAGCATATATGACAGCTATATATTTTATTTTTATTGTTATTATTATTTTTAAAGATTTTATTTGAGAGTGAGAGTGAGTGTCAGAGAGAGAGCATGAGAGGGTAGAGGGTCAGAGGGAGAGAAGCAGACTCCCTGCTGATCAGGGAGCCTGATTCAGGACTTGATCCCAGGACTCCAGGATCATGAGTCGCTTAACCAACTGAGCCACCCAGGCGCCCCTCTAGTTGGGTTTTAAAAACTAGATGTTTAAAACAGCTACTGTGGACTTGCATAGAGGACTGTTGCTTTCTGATGGTTCTGTTTCTAGGTAGAAACTGTTAAGATATAAGGGAAGCCAAAATAGACAGGAGAAAACCTGAGAATTGGCTGTCTTAAGAAGAGGGTGGGGAGTTTCCTCAAATAGTGGTAGTCAAGAGAGTCAAATGTGTGGATGGATGTCAAGGAAGATGAGGACTTAAAAGTTAATACTTTGAGCTTTGAGATACTGGAAAAATATCTAATTATAATTATACTGCGTTAGCTGTGTCCTGCTTGGGGTTGAGTCAGAATAATTAACACTTTTCAGTAACTTGCAGGCTCTTAAAATCCTATGATAATCACATAATCATAAGTCTGTTTATAATCTAAGTTATTATGAGCATCTAAAGAGTTATGGAATATGAAGTGCTGTCAAGGCTTTGTCTTCTCTGTAGTTTGTACAGGCCGGCACCTCAGACTTACACCTTGTGGCTTTGTTCATTTTCTCCTCTCACTTATACAAGTATTACTTTAGACTGAGTCCTCACTTCTTTTTAGAATTGTATTTTCTCCTTTCTAGTCCTTGCACACCCATGGTTTCCACTGTTCATTCCCTTCCCTGCCAAAGCTCCAGTTCTGCATCGCCAGCCTCATTGTCTTTCCTAAGCTTCAGACTTGCCTTTTGATGTTCTCCATATAAACTCTTCAAGTAACTGGCATTTTGTAGTCTTGAATCTGTAGATTCAGAATTAAACACTCTCCTTTGCAATTTAATTCCTCCCTCATTTTCCTGTTTATATTAATGATCTTAACATTTTCTTAATCATCTATACTTAAAATCAAAGGTTGCCTTCGATTCATCACTGTCCCCCTTTCTCAGAAATTCTTTGTCATTTTATTGCATTATGGTTCAGGAATCACGTTCTCCTGCTGCTTTTTCATTTTCCCAGCAAGAGATTACTTATAATACCCCTGCCTCAACTACCATTAATAAGACATCCCTAATCTCTGGGTTTTGCCATTCATCATGCATGCTGCTATTAAATTATTTGTCCTAAAGACAGCCCTGATCATATTTTTCTCTGCCTGATAGAAGCAAACAGAACAAAAAACACTTATTGAATATTTCTTATGTCAGCCTTTGTGTTGAATGCCTTATTCTGATTTGGTCCTCAAAATAGTTCTATATTGTAGACACTACTTTGTCACTCTATAGATGAAGAAATTGAGACTTCATAGGCTTGCAGGGTTGCTAGTAGGTAGAAGAGCTGGAATTTGAATCCTAAGCATGTCTTCCAAGTCTGTGTTCTTGACCACCATGGTTCTGTGGAGTGTCTCCTGATCAACTCTAGAATGAAATCCTTGTTCCTCAGTTTGCTTTTTAAAACTCCATTATTCGGCCTCCGTGCTCTTTCTCAAATTTAATTTTTGTTTAATCAGACTTACGTTTACATTCCTTCTGGAACAGAAGTATTTGTATTTTGTAGTCTGGAACAGAAGGAATGTAAACTTTTGGTTTCTTACACATCTCCACTTGGAATTTTTTCCCTTTCCTATTTCTGCCTTCTGAAGTCTTTCAAATAAAAGGCTAGCTCATACACAGACTTTCCCTAGAGCCCCTTTTCTGTTTTCATAGGTAGTAAGGTCTACTCTTATTTGTGCAGTTGCTTTACCTTTTGATGATGACTTTCTATTCTGAATTAATTTTTGAGTGCCCTAACAGTAATTGAATTATAAAATGCCTGAAAGCAGAAACCATTTCTTACTGTTGTATCGCCCAATGGATGCTCAGGAAATATATGTGAATGAATATGAAAGTGATCATGGAATTTAAGTAGTATTTGATTTTAGTTGCTAGATGACATATATATAGTTAACTGAAGTTTTTAATTGTGTATGCAACAAAACCAGATTGTCTTGTTTTAGGCTATCAAATGAGTTCTTTATTTTCAAAAAGATCACTAGGTAATTATGATAAATTGTTTATTTTAAAAGATGCTGTTTTATTTTTCTGTATGCACATGTCTGTGTTACTCATTCTTAAAATTAATGGTTTTATATTTGAATTCTTTCCCATGTTGTTGAATTCTGCAGTGTTAACCATAATTCTTTGGCCTCAGTTTTTTAAATGCTTATATGGATATGAAAGGTAGAATAAAACTTTCCCTATACTGCAGTGTCATTTTCTGCCTTTTGGTGACATCAAGAATCTCCAACTATATGATAGC